TTCCAAATATCAGACTTTTTTTAAAAGGAAAATGTGGTGTGAATTAGCTGTAGTTCTGAAAGGAAATATAGTAACCTTTGGGGGGAGGGGAGGAGTAGTTAAAGCATGTATGATAAGTATATTTTTCGTCTGCTTTATGCTTTTTTTGTTTTGTCCTTGGATGTAACATTAAAGATGTGAATCTGTAGGAACTGCTCCAGAAGGTATGAACTGTAAAGTTAAAGTAAGGAAATACTTGTTTGTGCTGAAGCTTTATATAGAATTGGTACTCTGAAATAAGGTAGTGTTTGAACACATGGGAATTTCTTAAAATAAACACAGCCACAAAGGGAAAATGTGATAATGACTTGATGATGATGAGTGTCTGCTGTTACAGGTCCGGTGAGATGCAAGTGCCAACACCCCAGTCTCTACACCATGATCCAAATTGTAATGAAGGAATTTGGCAGCTCTGATGCCTTTATGTGAATGTATTACCATGGCTATGAAGATAAATAGTTCCAAAGTGGAAATAGTAACAAATATTTAGTCACTTCCAAGCAGATTAGAAGTGAAAATAGACATACTATAGGAACCAAGATAAAGAGGAAATATATATTTTTTGAGTATGTGTGTTCCATTCCTGCATCCCTGGGCTGGTTCTTCCTTTTAAAAATCAGTGTATTTAGACAGATAATATATTCCCTTTGTAAAAGTCATCATCCTGATTTCTTGATTTCTTCCAGCTTCCTTCCTGCTCTCCCTTTCTGTGACGCTCCTCTTATGCAAACATCAGCCCTGATTAAAGCCTAAAAATTGCGGAAAATGTACTGTACCAAATTGTAGACTGGTGAGCTGTCTGATAACCATAAACTGTCTAATGAAGTGCAAGAGCACAGATTTGCTCCCAGGGGCAGGCTCCCCCTTGTGGGTGCTGAGCCCGTTACTTACAAGCTTCCATGAGCTTCCTAGCATTGCACTAACTTAACTTATAATTCTGTCTTACTTTTTTTTAAGCTATTATCTATATAATTTGGAAGTTTGTGGGGATTTTTTTGTTTGTTTTGTGGATTTTTGTTGGGTTTTTTTGTTTGTTTTTTTTTGGGTTTTTTTGTATTCTCAAGAACTTTTCAAGCCAGACTGACCTGAAAAGTCTTAACTCAGAAACAAGTTTTGTAGAGTAGGAAAACTGTTGCCAGAACACAAAGGTCTTAACTTTTTTGTTGTTCTGGTTTTTGATGCAATTCCGTCTGCTGCTTTTGGATATAACTATACTTGATACTCAATATATTAACTTTTTCTAAATGTGCTGTTTAGCTTCTTTTCTAAATAGGGTCATGTCCTGTAGTGGATGTCTAACATATGGTACTAATACAAGTGTGAGAGTCAACACTGGTAACTGGAAGATTATTTTCCATCAGGTTCTCTGAGTTCCTCTGCCAAAGATTAAGAAGAACTGTATTGTTTGGGCAGAATGAAGTGTCTTTTGTTTGTCCTGAATGATGGTGCCGGACATTACAATGGAATCCCTGCTGTGGCATGTTTTACAATTTTGGAATTTAAAATTCAAAATTTCAAAGTTAGAATTCCAAGCTGTGGTAGGAGCAATCTTTCTACTCTCTTCACTTGACTGTTTCTTGCAAGGTGTTTAATGCAGCTCACTGAGTTGACTTCTTTACATGGGCTTAAGAGGCTTTTCTGCTTGCTTGCTAGCCCAAGCTGAATGACTCATCTGAGATCAAGCTGTTGACAGAGGAGGTGCTTTTGGAGCTGCAGATGGCACTGCCAGCATCTTAATGAAATCCAGTGCCAAGGGAAGCATATGAAAAATGTAGGAAACAATACTGAAAATTGCATGCAAATCTTGGAAAATAGGGATGTGTCTGTATATGGGAGATGAGCATTTTTCATCATGAAGTCAATTTTCCCCACTTTTCCACTTTCATCAGTGCCAGCTCTAGCCCTGAAGATTTCCTTATGGCCTACAACTGATTGGTCTGATGGCTTGATCAATGTTCTAGTGGTTGGCATTGTCTCTGAAGTGAATGACAACCTGGTGATAATATGCATTTTGAAATTCAGAAACCTTCTGGTCCTTCAAGATTCCTTTTTTCCTCTCATAGTACTAGCCAGTACTGTTATAATGTACATATGGGTTCCTGGCTGAGAGAGCTAATTGTTCGTTCTTCTCAGATGGTTCTCTTTCACTGAGTTGTTGTTTGCCGTTTTCATGCATTTTTCAGTGTGAAATGGGTAAGATGACTAAGAAGGAAACTGCAGACAATACCACCAAAGACTGAAGCTTGAATCATGAACCAGGACCAAGAAATTTTGCAAATTATATAACTTACTTTTTTGTGTATTGTCACTTGAAAATGCAGATTATAATTCTCAGGAATGTCCTTTAGGTATAAGATGAAGAACTCACCTTACATGTCTGAATTATGATGGGCATTACTAACAAAATCCTCATTACATTTATACTGGGAGAAAGATGCTACTATTTATCTTTTTTTTTTGTGAATAGATGTTTTATTTGGCCAGCAGCTAGAGTTGTAGGGGATTTGGTTTCTTCAGGAAATGCAAGCTTGCCAAACCTGAACCCAGAGGTACAAGACAGGGGTTATTTCAGTGCAGAAATTATTTCCTCACCAATACAAACTCTGTCCACATATTGCAATCAAACCTATAATTTGACAGTGTTCCAGATTAAGTTTCCTGGGCAGTCAGGAGGAGCTTTGTACTGGTCAAATCCCCTTTTTACATGTCATGGATCAATGAAAGAAAAAATTGTGGGCAAAGAAATAGAGGATCATTTAATGATAAGATATCAGCAATAATTTCTGATGACGCTTGTTCTTGTATAACTTGTCAGAGCTCAGGGGATATCATGTTTAGTCATGCTTTCATATCAGTTATCAACTTCATCAAATTCTTGGGTACAGTGAAAGCTTTTTGTCTTCTCAATTTCTCCAGCATATTATTTCTCATCACTGACCTGAACCTCAGCATGACCTTACTTCTTGGTAACTTTCACTGCGAGCTCAGCTGATAGATATTGTGATGTCTAGATTTCTGTCTTTTCTGGAGAAGATGACTTTTTCTCCTGAACAATTCTCTTCTGCATTCTTAATGGAAAATCCAGTTAGTCTAGCTTTCTTTACTGTAAATGATTCCAAACACATACTTTTTGTAAAAGAAAGTTTTTCACTTTTTTTTTCTATGGGAAGCATGCAAAAGAAAAACAAAAATTACCTAATTACTTTTAAGTCACACACACACACATGCTTATTAATAAAATATTAAAAAAAAAGATAAACCAAAGCAAACTAAAAGAATACCTAAAAAATAAACATGCATTTTAAATAACTCTAGGGGATTTTTACATCTAACTTTCCTGATCACCCAAAGGTAACCATGGCATTACTTTTTGTTCCTTGTGCATGCTAGTGGCTTTAATTTAGTAGATTTGCTAAATGTGTCTATCATTGTGTTAAAAATTTTAATTACTGAGGTTTGTGAAACAGCTCCCAAATACGAGGAGTATTTGTAGAAAGCTGGATAGATTGACAAGTGATTGACAGGGTAAACAGTCTCACTGTGTTCTGATATCCTATGCTGTGGTGCAATGCTACAGATACCACATAAGCCTCAGGAAGTAGCTGCAATCCAATTTTTATTAAACTCTTAGTGCCAGTGTATCTTGACGTTATTGTTAATTAGGAAACTAAACGTGCCACTGTTGTCTTATTCGTCCTTTCTTTAGAAAGCTTCACTGTTATGTTGCATTCCTATAACGTTAGTATGATATAACCCAAGAGTGATATATATGTTTGGTATTAATACAAAGCAGTGTTAGGAAGAGGAAGTTCAGACACTGCACTTTTTCATATTTGTTTCCCATAACTTCATTCAATTATTTCTGTATGCGAAAAATCTTTAAATGACAAAAGCCTTGTTTATTGTAATAAGTGCAGAGTAACGCCTATTGTCCTAATGTGCCTCCAAAACAAGACTCACCTGGAAAACAGGTATCAAGTCTGTGTAGCTCTTAATGTTCCCCAACAGAGACAGGCACAGTTTGTCCTTCTTCTCACCCTCTCCTTTCCATGCCACCCCACATACTGCACGCAACAGAAAGAGAAGAAACAAGCTGAGAAACCCACTGGAAGGATAGATAGCTTAACTGGTTCATCCTTGAAGATGTTTGTCTTGGATCATTAAGGTGAGATTGGTAAATTGCAGGATCCAAGGATCATATTGACAAATGCTTTGTTTTTCAGCTCAAGATGATTATTGACACTTGAGCAAAGAAAGATAATTCACGTATTTTGAAGGCTTTGTGGCTTTAACTTAATATTTTTTTCTAAGAAGGTGGAAGATGGTGTAAATTTTGGGGCAATGCTGCAACTTAATCTTAAGGAATCATATGTGGATCACATGCATCTGTCACATCATTCATGTTTCACGTTCAGGGGGTTTGTGATGTTACCTTGCTAACTGGATCTTTTGCTGTGAAATAGGCTCCTTATCTGTTCTTAGACTAGGCTCTCATTTCAAACAACTATCCTTCTTTTCCATGTTCCTTGGAGATTTCATCCAGTTTGCCAACTTACTTTTCTTCTCTTACTGAATGTGAACTGAATGGACAATGGCCAACTGTGTTAAACTATGTTAAGACCATGACAAGAGACATTATAGTCTGGGT